CAGCCGCCTAGCTTTTGTGGTTCCCGAGTTGAAAGTGCGGGACAAAATGTGGGACACACACAAAAAACACACACACACAAACAACCCTGTGACAATATGCCTTTTGTAACGCTGTTACACAGCACAAAACGCATAAAAGTTAAGCTACCTATTGTAAATGATAAATAAGAAGAAATTGATAAGTAATTCGGCAACGATAACAACCCCAGCGATATTAGCACGAGCGCACTGATCGGCCTCATATGTCAGTGGGCATGTGAAAAATAACACCAGTGAATAGATACCAAAAATTAGTAGTAATGAATACAAAACACCACCAATATTAGCCCATTCGTAAGCTCCGCGCGCCTTCAAATGCATCTCACCGCGCCTCCACGAAGCAATCTAAAGTAACTGTAAATGACTAAAAAAATAATCAGAATTAACCAAAAAAGAGGAGAGATTTGGTACTTATCTACGAGATCCTTTACTCATCTACGAGCTCCAGCAGCTGGTTTAGAGTGAAAATGCAGGCCACTGTGCTATAATTACTCCGATCTACGGCTTGATCCCCCAGTTGCTGTTTACCAAAGGTCTCGTTAGATCGTAATAGTCTTCACGAACAATTTAGCAAAATATGCAAAATGGGCATCGATAGGTCGATTGTGCATCAATACCTCCGATATTGCTAATTATTACTTTATATTCACAGTGAATATCAAGCAATCGCTAGCAATAATGAAGGTAATGACAGGCATTCGTGGACGATCGAAATGACACAGCAGAAAACGGAGATGAGGGTGTATACAAAATTCACTGTGAATATAAAGTAATAATTAGAACTTCGATTTCAAGCCTGCATTAGTTTCAATATAAATAGCAACGCCCTCCAGACTAGCCGGTGCGACCATGCGTTTTGTGTAATTCAGCCCATCGAACGACTGCCGATTAACGATTTTCACTGTTTTGTACTTTAGCCTATGCAAAAATAGTTGAAACACTGAAAAATAATTAGAAATTTCACGCACCTGAACATGAAAGCTGGATTCGAAACCTTGAAGGGTGAATATCTTTCCGTGATTCCCGATTTAATACCTCACCCGCCAAAATTTTCACGAGGCCGTAGGTGATAACCGACAGCGCGGGAACGCTGAATTGAATAAGAAAGGTTGAGCATGGGCAGAGGGGCATTACTGTAAAATTTCAGCTTATTAGACTCCGTGGTTCCCGAGATAATAATTTACCCGTAAAAACCTTCAGTAGCCCGTAGGTGATACTCGAGAGCGCGGGAACGCTGCATTTGAATAGGCAAGGTTGAGCGTGGGCAAGCGATCATTACCCTAAAATTTCAGCTTCCTAGACTCCGTGGTCCCCGAGATAATAATTTACCCATCAAAAATTTTCACGAGGCCGTACTTATTGCCCGCGGGCAGAGGAAAGCTGAATTTAAATTCCCTGGGCAGCACATGGGCGGGGGCCACGCTCACAGAATTTCAGCCTTCTACCTCCCGTGGTTCCCGAGATACTGGTTTTACCCGAAAAATTTTTACTGGGTCGTACGTATTAACTGCGAGTGCGGGAAGGCTTGCTGCACCACCCGTTGGCGGGGAGCGCTATACTAAAATTTCAGCCGCCTAGCTTTTGTGGCTCCCGAGTTGAAAGTGCGGGACAAAATGTGGGACAGGCAAACAGACACACAAATATACAAACAAACACATATACACAGGCAACCCCGCGACAATACGCGTTTTTTACTACTGTTACATAGCACAAAACGCATAATACAACGTGAAGGTTAGCCACCTTCACCTGAATTTAGCAAATCTTCAGAAGACGAAAGTTTGCGAGGCAGAAAATCAGCAGAATTGACAATTCGCAAGAAATCTAGAACCCAGTAGCAAAGTTTAAGGCCCAATCAGTAAAGCTTTTTCTCACCTCTCGGCGACCATACAATATTGTCACCTAAGAATCAACGGAACTTATATAGACTAATTCACGAAGGCTTTTAAATACAACTGAAAGATGAACAAACCTTATCTTATTGTCATTGCTACAATCCAATAAACCAGGTTTTTATGCGGCACATGGTATCTGAAATGTTGCAATATGTCAAAAATTAAAATTATATTGATATTAATAAATAATTACAACTAAATAAAATTATAAATAAAATCATAATTAAAAAATAAAATCGTAAAAATTAAAAATTATAATTATAATAGCTGCCTTTTATCACCTTAAAGTCCTGATAAATTTTCCAAAAATCCGGAAGCCTAACACTCCAAGACACCGCAAATCTAAGAGATCGGTCGAAACTAGGTACCCAGTAGGGGTGCACTCTTGTTACAACGTCCATTACCCAGAGCAGTATCTCACGCGTTCAGGCACATCTTAAAAGGCACAAATTTTAACAATTCCCATAGATCTTGCTTCCCGAACTAATTTTAACGCTTCTTTCGCTAATCTTAATATCTTTTTTTGCACTAATTTTAACGCCTTTTTTGGCAAAACTAATTTTAAAGCTTTTATTTGAACCGTTATCTGCGTTCTTTCTTGGTCAGAAAAACGCCTCGTTGTGATCAAACAACAAGAACGTCCGAGAAGAGATACTTAGCCACAGTACATACCGAGGACACCTTGAAACCGTTAAAACTTTGCTAAATGCTTTTATTCCGGAGATTTGCTAAACTTGTAACCTTCTCTAAAAGTTGAATAAATAGCAACGCGCACCAGACTAGCCGGTGCGATCATGCGTTTCGCGCAATTCCGCCCACTGAACGATTGCCTATTAATGATTTTCACTGCTTTATACTTTAGTCTACGCAAAAATATTTCAAACATTGGAAAACAGTTAAAAATTCCACGCACCAGCGTATGAAAGCTGAATTCGGAACCCTGAAAGGTGAACATCTTTTCGTGACTCCCGAGTTAATAGTTTGCCCGCCAAAATTTTCACGAAGCCGTAGGTGATACTCAACAGCGCGAGAACGCTGAATTTGAATAGGCAAGGTTGAGCGTGGGCAGAGGAGAGGGGTCATTACCCTAAAATTTCAGCTTCCTGAACTCCGTGGTTCCCGGGATAATAATTTACCCGTAAAAACTTTCAATAGTCCGTAGGTGGTGCCCGAGAGCGCAAGAACGCTGAATTTGAGTGGGCTGGGTTGAGCGTGGGCAGGGGGTCATTAACGTAAGATTTCAGTCTCCTAGATTCCGTGGTCCCCGAGATATTAATTTACCCGTAAAAAACTTTCACG